TCTAACATCGACTTGAGATTTTCCTTGTTAAAAAGTTGAATAATTTTGGCACATTCGACATTATGCATAAACCAGTGAATTTTATAAAGTGTTTTTTTCAAGACTTAGCATGAGCAAAATGAATTCACCGATTTGGAAGAAAAAATGGACTCCAGAATGATGTCAAAAAAATGGACTCCAGGATGATGTCAAAAAAATGGTCAAAATCCGCGAATATTTCTTATTCTCCGATATCCAGTTGTGCTTAATTTGTAACGTATATAAATGTAGGTAGAAAAAAGATATCGACGGTCACAATGCAATTTACGGCTCCCCCAATCAGGCTAGGGCCCTTAATGGTGGTAACTATCTCTTGTTGTCGAAAACTTGCTCAAACCAATAACGATATTCTCCTCCCTATATCTGTTGTAGATTCCGTGAAAATACTCAAGAGACATGACTTTAGGAGTGGACTTTGTATGTATTGTGATTTCCCAAGCGTGGCTTAGATGTGGCACAAGGCCGAATGCATGAGCCCCCCACACGTGAGGATGGAACTCACTACTCAGTCGTAATTGTTCTAGCAAGACAAGCTTTCTAATCATTACACCACCTCAAGATGCCTAGTGATTTTCTAAGCGTAGCTTAGATGTGGCACAAGGCCGAAAGTATGGGGCAGCAAGTGAGGATCGAACTCACTACTCAGTCGTAATTGTTCTAGCGAGACAAGCTTGCTAACCATTACACCACCTCGAGATGCCTAGTGATTTTCCAAGCGTAACTTAGATGTGGCACAAGGCCGAAAGTAAGGGGCACCCAGTGAGGATCGAACTCAATATTCAGTCGAAATTAGTCTAGCGAGATAAGCTTGCTAACCATTGCACCATGCCGAAATTTCCAAATGATTTTCGAAGTGTATTTTAGATGTGGCACAAGGCCGAAAATTTGGAGCACCCTGTGAGGATCGAACTCGCTAATCTGTTGTAACTGATCTAGCGAGACAAGTTTGATAGCCATTACACCACGTCGAGATGTCCCAATGATTTTCTAAGCGTATTTTAGATTTGGCACAAGGCAGAAAATTTCGAGCACCCAGTGAGGATCGAACTCAATATTCAGCCTCAATTAGTCTAGGGAGACAAGCTACCTAACCATTGCACCACGTGGAAATTCCCAAAAGTTTTTTTAAGCGTATTTTAGATGTGGCACAAGGCCGAAAATTTGGAGCACCCAGTGAGGATCGAACTCGCTACTCAGCCGTATTTGTTCTAGCGAGACAAGCTTGTTAACGATCATAACACCTCGAGATGCCTAGAGATTTTCCAACCATAGCTTAGATATGGCACAAGGCCGAAAGTAAGGGGCACCCAGTGAGGATCGAACTCACTATTCAGTCGTAATTAGTCTAGCGAGATAAGCTTGCTAACCATTGCACCACCTCGAAATTTCTAAGCGTATTTTAGATGTGTGTGACGGTTACACACCTGGCCCAGGGTCGAATCCTTTGGTTACGGCGCCAACGGTGACGTCGCTCCTCCTGGTCGCTCCTCCTGGGTCCAAGCGTGCCGCTCCAACCCCTTGGTTAGATGATCACCAGCCTCGCCTTTTCCCGACTCGCTTCCAATACCTGGTCACTAAAGCAACTGTACTGATCTCCGGTCTGTCTACCCACGCTGTGTTTAGATCTTAGACAGACGGGACCAGCAGGGATTGGGGCCGATACAAGTTGAGTCCGACGGGGTGGCGAAACACAAAAAAAAAAAAAAAAAAACTCACGAGACAAAAAGATTGCTGATAAAAAAAAAAAAGGTAACAACCTTTTATATCTAATGTCCGTTACATAAAAACAAAATTGTTCTCATTTCCCGACCCGCTCTGTGGACTATGGCACCAAGCTTCTATCACACAACCTAAAGATTTCGAATTGCCTACTCTTTAGAATTGTGTATGTCGGAGTGTGGTTTAGTTCGACACTGGGGCTAATTTCTATCGATCATTCGCAGTTGATTCTTCTCTTCGACCTGAGTTGTATTTCTTCTTCTTCGTCGACTTAGATAGAACTTCTCTTGTCTTCGACTTGGGCTGGATCTTCTCTGCGGCTTTCGAGTAATCTTCTTCTTTGTCCACTTGGGCTGGAAGTTCTCTTGTCTTCGACTTGGGTGGAAGGATTTCTTGTTTCGACTTGGGTGGAAGGATTTCTTGCCGCAACTCAGCCTCTACTCTCTGTCGTCCGAGGTGATCTCTTCTCGCTGCCGTCCGGGGCTGAACTCTTCTCGCTGCCGTCCGGGGCTGAACTTCTGTCTTCGACTTGGGCTGGAAGGATTTCTTGTCTGAGGATTCTTTTGCCCGCAAAGGGGCGAGTGAATCGGGCCTGATGCCCGCGTTCAGGCTCTTTCCCTGCCCGCGGTCCAGCTGCAACTGATTTCTGTCGACTGGGGTCCTGCTTTTATTGACGCCGCAACAAAACGGGGTGGGTTTTTCGGCGTCAGGGGTTTCTCGATAATTCTAATAGCCGCATTATTTCTGTCTTCCCATTATCGCTATTGTTTTCACCCCTACTTCCTCACAGTGCCTTTGGTGGGGAGGCGCACACCCATCTTTACCGGTCCCTCGTATGTCAGGTGACCACTCTCGACCAATGATTCCTGATCGAGCATTTCTCCTCCTCTCCCCGTATGCCACGTGACCGTTTCCGACCAATTGTTATTGATCGAGCATCCTTTCTCCTCTTTTCGGGCGTGGTTTACATCGTTCTTGTTTTAAAAAAAAATCCAATTTTGCCCTTTTTGCACGTACGAAAAATGACAATCTTGGCTTTTTTTCACCTGGGCTCTGTCAAAACAGCCTGCCGCTAATTAGATGTGACTTCAGGAAAGAATATTGGCGCCATCTGTGAGCTGAGACAATCGTTTTTTCACCTCTTGTTTTGTCAGACCCGACAGTCAGAAAATCTTAATTATCTACATTGAAAATGTCCCCCACTTTATTATCGTGGGTTTCCAATTCTTAATAGGTCAGAATCTGTATACAGTTCCACCGGTCACTCCCCTCAACCCAAAAGACACTTTTTCTCCGATTAAAAAAATTTCGTTTCTATTGTTCTAAAAAGAAATTCCCCTTTCTCCAATTTGACAATGAGTCTTTCCACGCAAAAGTAGGCTAGGTGCTTTGACCGATATTCTTATCAATCGCCAACACACTGTCATCAAGCCTGGTTCTTTTTCTCCCTCTAAATGATTTTTCATTTCAAATAACAATTCTCTATTGTCTTTTAAAATTCGGCCAACACGCAGGCCAAGATATCTTTCTGACACCTATCTTCGCTTATGACCGGGTCATGCATCATCCATCTCTTTTTCTTTTTTTTTTTCCTTTCTTCCTCTTTTCTTTCCCTTCCTTCTTCTTTCCTTAGGATCGTCTAAGTACAACTTTAGTGAATTATTTTCAACTCAATTATTTTCCGTTTAAAAAAAAATCAACAACCTGTTTAATAAACCGAGTAAAAAAAAAAATTAAATCATATTTCTATGAATATTTCTAATAATGCAAGGTGCCACATGTGGCACAAGGCCTAAAATTTGGAGCACCCAGTTAGGATCGAACTCATTACTCAGTCGTAATTGTTCTAACGAAACAAGCTTGTTAACCATTACACCACCTCGAAGTGCCCTATTCTTTGTATGTATATATACGCCCTTGTATATACTTACGATAGAGCAATGGATAACTTTATGAGCCTAAATACGTCCTTACTGCTTTGGAATATATTTTGTCTGTTATCTTCGAACGTCTGTCCTTCTCCATTTTCTATCCATTCGCTTATATTTTTTATTTTTATTTTATTTTTGTGCCCTAAGCATGCAGTTTGGTCCGTTTGCACAAACGCATTTGCTTGACATTCACGTTGCAGTCTTTTTCGCTCGTCTTTTTGTTTATCCCCAGAAAATTATTATTCGGGGAAATCTAATGGCAACGGCGTTGGCAGTGGCAGAACAAGGGTCATAATGGTCGTCTTTGACTTCGTCATCAATGGAAAGCAAGAAATGCAAAAGAAAAAGTTAAGAAAACAAATTCATTGTCCAATGATTTTGAAGAGGGAAGAGGGAAGGATTTTGTCTTGAGTCTACCGACCCCAGACCTGCAAATGAATAAACGAAAGAATTGCGGGTGGGGGGTTAAAAAAAAATGCAAGAAGCGGATACACATGAATAAATAAATAAACAGATAAGTGATGCGAAAATAAAAATTTAATATAAAAAATAATAAACAAAAAAATTATGATATTACTGAACCGACTTTCTTCCCGCCAAAACTACTACGGCTACATACCATGAATTTATAAGTGTTTTTTTTTATTTTTATTTATGTATGTATTTATTTATTAAGGGATTAGCCTACCACGAAAACAACCCTATAAATAATCCAGTGACGGGTTACATGTCTGGCTATTTGATCGAAAGTGAAATCACGTCAACTCATTTCAAATCATTGACAAACAAATATCCAAAAATATTCCACTCAAAACTAAATATTTCTTTTTTTTTTTTTTTTTTTTTTTTTTTTGCCTGGAAAAGGGAGACTATTAATTGTAGGTTTCACATTAGAATATAAAAGACCGGTTTTCGGAGTGTCGCCTTCATTTTCAATTCCAAGACCTGAATCAATGAAGTTATGTTGTGGCGAAGAGAAGAAAATTGGTTGAGAGAGTCTATGTATTCTCCAAGAGGACACACGCGGTTAGAAACCGAAATATGAAATCCCTTATCAAAAACAATAGATAGATAGATAGATAGATAGATAGATAGATAGATAGATATGAACAGACTGAGATAGATAGACACACAGATAGATAGATAGATAGATAGATAGATATATGAACAAAGTGAGATATTTATATATATTAACAGAGTGAGATAGATAGATAGATAGATAGAGAGAGAGAGAGAGAGAGAGAGAGAGAGAGAGATGGAAAAAGAATGATAAGCATAAACAGAGTGAAATGAACAAATTGCAAGAAACATATGTCAACAGAATGAGTTAGATAGATAGATAGATAGATATGAACAAAGCCAGGTAGATATATATGAACAGAGTGAATATATATATATATATATATATATATATATATATTTGAATTTGTAGGTCTTATGAATTGGATCGTGATTACGATTCCAATGTAATAAATTACATCAATGGAATATTAGTGTTTGAGCCTTATATATATATATATATATATATATATATATATATATATATATATGATAAAATACAGTTTTAATATATGCTATATTCATGGGATAAAGTGGTCAATATCAGAAATAGAACGTTTGTAAACAAAAGTTATTTAGCCTTGGCTTGTTCATAGAAGGGTAGATATTTTTATATATATTTGCTTTGCTATTATGTTCTTTTTATTTTTGACGGGTACTGTGTGCGAAACCAGTCTTTGTGTGTTATGTTTTTCCTCTGGTCTACTATCAACTTCGTCCTTAGTGCTGAGTCAGAAAGTTTTGGTAAAATATAAGAAATTTTTCATACGGATAGAAGGAGCGATATACTGTAAGACTTTGGAACAAGAAGGTTTAATATCTGAAATCTGTGGCAAAAGATTGACGATTTAATTTACATATAGACGACACCTGGAATTGGCGTGTCGAGGGTTTGAACAATAGAAAATGGCCTAGACTGGAAAGGCAATGATGATTGACATGTGTTCTACGTAGCTGAAAATGCAAGCTCTAAAGCGAAAATTTAATTTTCGCAAACAACGAATTTAAAGTTGATTCTCCTGATCAAAAGTTGAGTTGAAATACCAGAAGGCCTAGATAAGCCACCCACGTTCACTGAGAAAGTTTAATGAGAGGTAGTAATAAGAGAGAGTGAAAGAAGGGAATTTCCCAGAATTATTTAGTTGACAACTAAGTGGATTTACCGAAATCCCTTTATGCGCTGTGCCCCGCGCCAGTTTGAGCGAATGTCCATAAATACGAATGGGCAAAGCGAATTCGGAGACGAGACGAAACGGAGACGGAGACAGGAGAGAGACGGCAGAGAGTTCGTCCCAGCCACCAGTCGTGATACCCCACCCACGTGATTGCCTGCCGACGAGAACCCTCCGACTTCAGATTTGTGCCGAACTTTACAAAAACAGCAACAACAATATTACTTCCGATTTAGACGTGGGTTGGGCTGATAATTAATTGCATGCTAACTCTGATATAAACCAATTAATGTACGGAAGACTGATATAAAAACAGTATTTAATTTTGTTCAATTTATTCAAGTGTTATTTTTTCTTGTGCCTCATCGCCCTGCTTGGACCAACCCAGAACGAAGATACCTATGACGATTCGATCTTAGCTTCCTTAGGATCAACAGTATTTAGTTTTTATTCAATTTATTTGAGTGCTATTTTTTTTCCTTTCCTGTACGTATTCGCCCTTCTTGAACCCGCCCAACACGAAGATATCTGCGACGATTCGATCTTGGCCTTCTTATGATCGAAATTAGATTACAACGTGGGATATGGTAGGTCTGAGATCGAAGCGATCTTCATCGATTATCCGCGATATTGGAAGTCTTGGACGACCGGGGAGGGTGTTGTACGATTATATATATATATATATATATATATATATATATAAACACTTAATATATATATATATATATATATGTAACTAATATGTTGATACAATATGTTAACTCTTACGCCCCTTATTGAAATAATGGCTTCAGCCGTTTCCATAGTAATTAATTTTACGAATTAATCTTACTTATTATAAAACGCAGATTGTGTGTGTGTGTGTGTGTGTGTGTGTGTGTGTGTGTGTGTGTGTGTGTGTGTGTGTGTGTGTGTGTGTACGTGGATCGGATTTCCTACATTTTTCAACCGTTTCCAAAAAAACTTCACAGGACTACGTAAAATTACCTTGCGGTGGTTCTGACAGAACCAAAAATTGGAATAACATAATTGTTTTTGAACGAAATCAATTTGAAAACACAATAAAACACGATTCTGTCACCAGAATGAAAGGGGGACAATTCATATCGAGTTATACTTATTATAAAACCCAAGTTGTGTGTGTGTGTGTGTGTGTGTGTGTGTGTGTGTGTGTGTGTGTGTGTGTGTGTGTGTGTTCGTTTATATATGGTATCGGATTTCCTACATTTTTCAACCGATTTCAACAAAACTTCACTTTTTTTTGGCAGGTAGTGTTTCTTATGGTCTTGCACACTTTTTTCTTTATTTTTACATTCAGAATGCTTTAAAAATTCCATTTACAAGACAATTGTTTAAAATAAAATTCTATTCAATCGGTAGACTCATAACGATTGAAAACAATGTTTTTGTTTGAATTTGGGTTTGACCAATTCGTAACCCCCCCACACACACACCAAAAAAACTAATTAAGACATGCGTGTCCGTCAACCTTAAACAATAATCTTTGTCAATTTTATTTTTCAGTCTTTATGATGGCCGATACTTGATCTATCTCTTACTGTTACATCTCCGGGAAATGCCGGGCTCTACTGCTAGTATGCTTATAGAAATGCGTAAATTTCAAGATTAGTTATTGCAAAAATTTCGCTTGAGGATGAAACAGAGCTTGATACTTTAATTCAATTTAATTTTAATAATTATATTTAAGTTTTGATTCTTGTTTTTGAAACATGAGAACTCTTATGTAGCGAAGGAATCATATTTTTTAAAATAATTAGAATGGTTATATATATTAAAATGGCCTAACGATTGCGTCTCGCATGAAACAGCCTGTCGCCTCTAAGTGTTGACTTCAATGTTCACTTTTATATTTACACACGCTCTATCTCTGATATTGAGCACTTTGTCCCATAAATATAGCACACCTTAAGAGTATATTTCTTTATATATATATATATATATATATATATATATATATATATATATATATATATAAGACCTTTATGAAAAAATTATTTTCTTAACACACATGATGATAATGGATAAAATGTCAAACTGAATGAAGGGCTAGTTAACCGGTTTTGAACCTCGTTCAACAGAGCTAAATTGAGGTTAATAAATTATAATAGAATTATCGCTAAAAAGAGATGGACACAATATGTATTGGGGAAAATATTGCTTAGATGGAAATTAGTTGATGGCCCAGTATGAAATCCTTCTGTTTACACAGAGAGGGCTTCAAAGATAAAATATAAATGGCCTCCAACACATTCAAGTGGTAATTCGAGTGGGACTTGCTAAGAATGGTAAATGAGTCCACACTGAAATTAGTGGCACAATTATGGTTATTTATTTGGTGCTCTGCGATGGAAGATGTATTGGTCATAATGTCTGAAGGATTGTGGTAGTCATAAAATTTTGTACCACAAATCATATCTTTAAATATATATATATATATATATATATATATATATATATATATATATATATATATTGTGTGTGTGTGTATTAAATAATATTTATGTTGGGCACACCACAAAATCGCTTTCACGACAGTTGAATCTACATTTGAATGATAATTCTAACATTTTTAGGTATTTAAAACAACACGCCTGTCCGCATACACAATTCCGGAAAATCGTCGTTGAAAACACAACTATACTTAAGCAATTTTTCATTAATGCATGTTTCATTTAATAATATAGACAAGTTATGTCTATTTATTTCATTTTATTTTTATGTTACAATAAAATATATACAAACATTAATTATATCATGTACACATTAAATACCTTCTCTTGTAGCGAATGATATTTTATTTAATGCATGCTGTTTATTTTCTATAATGATAGCTTCTAAAATTTCGAGTCTTTCCTTGCATTGGGTGCTCTATAGCAGAGTCGGCAAACTTTTGCTAACTTTGTGGTCGACTTAGGGTTTTAAAATCATTCAGTGTACCAGCAGCAAACGTATTTTTATACAAGTCAAGGTCAATATACCTATTCTACAATATATTTTATATAGTAATATATAGTATATATACTTTAGTATATATTAAAATTGAAACAGCTAATTATCTTCTTTGTGTTGTAGTAGTTTTTGGTTCGGACTTCGTGATGTCATTTGCGGCTGCTTGACATTGGAATTGACGTGCCACCTGTGGAACGCGTACCGTTGATGGCCGACCTCTGCTCTAGGCCATCTTTCCTCATTAGATGTTCCAGAAATTTCAACACTTTTATGTTGAGTAATCAAACAGAACACGTAGCATGATCGACGCTAGAAGGTAGACGGAACTATTTGTTAAGTCATCGTGACCGAGGCTTTGAGAGTACTGGCCTTGTTTATCATACGTATTTTTATACAAGTTAAATTCAGAGTTTGTCTATATTTCTGAGATGAGGTATTATGTACAGTATTTACATTAGTCGGACTATTGTCCTCATCTTTGTCGCCATATTTACATTAGGTTTATAATACTCAGAAGTTCATACCCAGATGTCCTCAAGGACACATGGCACAGTGGATTTGGTTAGATCCAGTGACAGACCCAAAGAAGGTGAGTTCAATTCCTGGTTAAGGCAATTTCAGAGGGAAAATTAGCAGGAGATAACTGATAACTTCCATCAAACATGCACAATATATTTCGAAATAAAGGGTTCAGTTCAAATTCCAACCACCTGAAGAAGGCCGGATATAACTTTAAACGTTGTATGTATGGCGACAAAGATGAGGAAATAGTCCGACTAAAGTTAAATTCAATATACTTATTCTTTTATTTCATATAGTAATATATAGTTATATACTTTAGTATGTAATAAAACTGAAACAGTAAAATATCTTCTTTTTGTTGTAGTTGTTTTTGGTTCGGATTTTGTGATGTCATTTGCGTGTGCGTGTCATTTATTGTAGTTTTCCAATTTTTGGATAATCTGTTGAATATTTTGCTCGAAGTTCTGGATAAACTGTCCAAAGTTCATATTTTGTTATTTTTGTTTAAGTACTTTCGGCTTTCGAAGTCATTATCAAGAACCGATCTGATGTCTGTGTGGTAGTTACAATTCCTTTGTCTGCCTCCTG